ACCTCAGGGTACCGGTACTTGAGGATTGTAACGCCTATAGTGCTATACTAATGTGTGCAACTGATTCATAGTGATGCAATGTATTTGAATGAGTGCCTCTGCACTAGTTGAGATCTCCTCAAGAAAGCAAAATCGCTCAGTAAAATATATGCTTTTGTGAATCAAGAGATTCCGTTGGATCGATTGGTGTACAAATATTCATACGTTAATGAGCAAACTTGATGGTATGGTAGGCTAAGTTGAGGGTACGGTATACCGTTTCCTGTTCCATTATGATAATGTCATCAACAAACGCTCTTCTTGATCCTTCACATATGGTCCTTGCTAACGAGGCGGATGTGAATAAGAAGTTAATGAAAACAATGCGTAGTAACAATTCCAAAATTGACGACTTTTATTGTCGTAGAAACAAAATTTTTCTCATTATCTCGATGTCATAACTGAGGCTAAAGTTTCAATAATGAACACGATTTCTTTAAGGCAGAGACGAGGAAATGTTCGTTATTGCCATTCCAAAACATTGTTCGCATTTTCTTTCCAAGCGCTCTGCATTGTTTATTGTTGGATTTGTTTCAGTCAATCGCATTATGGCTCTGCGATTATCTCTCTTCTATTCCAAAGATTACTTCGTCACGATGCATTTCCAACATGCATTTCTGTTTTGAAGCTTTTAAGACCCCTGTTCAATTTTGGGGGAAGTTCATGGATCTGCGAAATTGGAATGTTTTTATGAAGCTCTCCGACTCCGATTCTCAGGCCCAACTTTTTTCAGGGGACTGCATTTTTGGCTCCCGACTGCAAACTTTGACCCTGACTTTCTTCCTTTTAGGAAATTTTAACATGCCCTCGTATCCTCTCAACGATAGCGACAATGTCCTCGCATCCCTTTGTCCAACATCCCATCTGTATCTCTCATCCACTACATTGAGTGTCTTCAGTGTAGACTAGTGTATAGCCCTCAGAGTCCGTTCTAGCCTTTCCAAAAATGCATAAACACGTTCAAGTCAACCATCGCCTACTTTGCACTGCGCCCTCGTCTATTTCAGTCTAAAAAAATAAGACCTATCTCGCACCTCCCGAAATACCAGCTCACACCCCTTTCGGTGTAAGCACTTCCGGTCAAGAAAACCTGCTATAAGCGGTGAGCTGCGCAAAGATAAATCCATGAACAAATCGTCGGAACGAATCTTGCCTCTCATTCTACCTTAATGAGCGGGTTCTGATTAAAGCGGAACAATTGTGCGCCCATAGAACATGCTTTACCTTAGGATGGCTCACGGCACTTTAAGCTCTTTTCTGAAACTCCAGTGAACAGATCTGAACGTATTTATTTTGTATTTGATGTTGGATTTGTGTTTCTGATAATTTGCGATGAAGGTGTCTCTTATTTGCGAATGTTTATCAGTTATCATTTCAAGAACTCAGAACAGTGACACTTAGCCATGTACATGTTGTTGATGCATCGTCTATAGATCACTTGTATTGTCACTCTGGATTGTAATACGGATGGGATGATCCAAACGTATACGCATCGTTTCATTTTACGGATGGAAATATGCAGCTGTTTTTTTTTNTTTTTTTTTCGACGGAAACTAATCTGTTTCAATCAAAATTATGATCCTGCGAATTCGTGTTCCGTTCGCATTTTGCACCTTTTGATGAACTGCTTTTGGAATGTGATTCTCATATCCAAAGTCAACGACGTTGATATAAGATTAACATATTGGGCAAATTAGTTGGGTTGAGGAGGGCAGTCAGGTTTTCGAATGAATTTCTTTGTTTTCTCGTTGATTTTATTTGCTTTTGGATTATTGTGCTTTGGCTTCCGCGTAATATAATGTAATGTCTGTCGACTGTCTATATTACGGACATTTCCTTTCCAGTAATGTTCAGCCAGTTTTCCGCGACAATTACACTTAATTTGCGTAATTCAGTGATCGTTTACAACAGTTCTCTATCAACTCAGAGCACGCGTTTGAAAATATTGTTGTTTTGCATTGATTTTCGATGAACGATTTTCTCGATTTAATTATTTTCAGTCACGTGAATACTACCACTTTGCAGGGAGAGGCAATCAGGTAGAACCGGGAATGTGGAATGAAAACGATTGGTTCTATCCGGAAATGGAGAGCCGTTTTCGGCCTGTGCCTGGCTGGGTACGTCGTCCACCTCGTTTCCCACCGCCGTACGCTCGACCACCCGAAATGCCGCCTCCGTTCGCTGCAAAGCCGGATATGAGTATGATGGGAGGTATGCATCCGTTCCGAATGCCCAGAATGCCTCCTGATATGGCCACACCGCATGCAGGTGAGTGTTTATTTATGACATGAATAATTCTAATAACCAAACTATCAAAAATCCTAACAGTGATGGTAGTATGGCAATAATACCATTAAAGTTCCAGTAATAAGTGACAATATCAGGGCCAGCAATGCCGCCGCCTCCGTTGCGACCAATTCGCTCCAACCATCCTCCTCTCTATCAAGACTTCTCGGCCCCAGCTCGACCAGCACCTATCAGTATGAATGTTCAAACTTCGGCTCTAAAGTGTTTGGTCGAATGGAAAATACCACCATTGCCAAGTAAGTTGCGTACTAATCAAGAGGCACGATGAATAGTGTCCACTCTAGTGTTTGCAAAATTCCGACTGTTCTCCAGTCCTGAAATTCATTTTTATGCATGGGATATTTCTGATATTGAAAAACAATTACAAACAGGAGACAGGGCAATGTTAGCAGCGAAAGGTGATGCTCATTGCTCTGAAGAATAAAAGCTGAGGTGGTGCTATCGTGTAATGATTTATCCACTTATTGGCCCTTGTATGGCAAGACTGATATCTCTGCGAATAGGAGTGAAGTGGGAATGATTGGTGTATGAATCGAGATGAGTGGATTACTAAAATTATAAAAAATGCCGCATTTCCTCAAGCCCCGAAACTCGGTGAATTTTTCAAAACATGAATCTTGGGATCGGGATTCCATGCAAACACTAGTCAGGTTGTTCTTTATATTGATATTATAGAGAGAACTTTGTGTTGTTATCGATTCGAGCAAATCTGTATCATAAACTCTAATTGGTGCACTCTTTCATATGTTATTCGATCATGTTGGCGAACGTATTGAAAGCTGCTGAAAATTATGGATAGTTGCTTATTGCAGAAACACTGAAATATACTTATCGATTGGAGATTTGGGAGGGTCTGCAATGTGATACAGTTGACTTGCCAGCACAGAAGCTTTCACATCGAATCAAGACGTCACCAGGTGGATGGTATAAGGTTGTTAATAATAACAAAAATTCACTACCTAACGATATGAACGGATGTCATAAATAAAAGCATGTGATATTTAAAATGTCATATGCTTGATTTTTTTCGATCGTTTGTTTTATCAAACTTTTTGTTTTATTAGGTATTTTACAATCGTTTTTTATTTGCACTCGCGGTTGATATGTAATGTTGATGATGCAATAGGTTGAGCTGAGTGCACGCGACGCGAACGGAAGTGTTGTTGCTGTGGGTCGTGCCAGTTTCAAATCGGGTCAGTAGTTTTTTTCAATTCGGAAATCAGCATTATCAAGCAAAGGAGTACTTGAATTTTCGCTTAATAATGGGACGTTTTGCTACTGTAGTTGTTATGATTATTTTAATGGAGCTTCATTACGTATTCTATTGTTGCTATGAACTGTGATTAGTTTCAATCGGTTTTAAGTGTTTTCACATGACGAAATGCTGCAATTGTACAAGAAGGCGATCGACTTTGTTGGCACTGTAATGCACTCGTTCCGTTATTTGTATCGCTGTAAACCGAAAGTTTATTATGACGATATCCAGGTTCTCTTTTGATGGTTTCAATGTCATCTGTCTCATTCAGTCCTTTAGTACGTCAAAAAAAAAACCACTCGTAGTTCAGTTCTTTCAGAAAAATTTTACTTTAGATTTGATTACATCTCTGTTTCAAATTTTCTGCTAATTTTATTTGAGCCACTGCTTTTCTTGTTATCAGTTTATAATATTATCAGTGGATGTGTATCGAATAGATTATTTGTTTAAAATTATGTCTGATCCATATAAAAATGCATTTACTTAGTGAATTTATTCTAAAACAACAAATTTTCAGTTTCGTTGTGGTGGTTTGATGGAAAAGTATCTCAAGGATAATAACGGTCAAGCAGCATCATCGATTAATGGCGCAATAAGTGGTAGTAAATCGTTGTTTTTAGATTTTACTAATCCAGCCATAATGTAATAATTTACTTATTGATGCGAATTGCTCTCATGTAATGATCAAATTTTGCGTTTTATGCGACCAGGTGTTCAGCGGTGAGGGCCATCATCATTGGAAGTGACTGAAAATTAGCGATTATTCTCGAGTTTTAACGTTTCTCGCAGTTTAGGTTTATTCTTCTCGGCAAGACTTTTGCCTGACGGTAGTTTGCCATCGCATTCGCCATTCGGTAATGTGCGCATGCTGGTGCCAGCAATAACGCTGATTGACCCATCGCGCATTAATATGTATTTTTCGGATTTTTATTGCAACTACATCACTCATTATGTAACGGTGGTCATCTGTGAAAAGCGTTCTGATGTAAGTTAAATCATTTCTTTCATTCATGTTTCTTCTCAGTTATATGAATTCCTCTGCTGTATCGTTGTATTGCGGTGGGTCTGTCAGTTCGATTGAGGTCACTATTTCTGATTGTTGAAAGAGATCAGAATTGCTTCATTCCTCGCGGTTCCAGTGCAGTGTTGAAGCAGTATTTGATACTATTTTTCATTACTGGTCTACTATGAATTGTATGAAAGCCACAGAGTTATGGTTGTATGATGTTATTGAGTCTGGAAAACCTAAAATATTATCTGCTTATCAATATGTGATGTGATTCTTATCAGTATGTGCTCTAATAGGTCCATTTTATATGCGGCTAAACGATATTGTAAGTACTGATTACCAAAAAAATTCGCTCATTCAGACCGATCTCTTCTGTATGCAACGACTTATCAAACTGCAACCCGATTCGAATCCATTCCTGCGTATCGTCATTAGACCGCCGATGTTTGAGCCTGAATTTTGGGTGAACAAAAATGTTTGGGTTGAGATTTATTATACGGAGAATGTTCCTTTATCGTGGGGGCGTTTCGACACGATTCTAGCGACTGGTGCGGGAACATCGCGTGTTGGTGGTTTGCCACATAATAAGGTTCCTGCATTATGATTCCGGAATTCAGTTTGTTTATTACTTTTGCATATGAAATTGGTTGTGAAGATTATATTTAGCGACAACGTAATTGTTACTCTGATCCACTGTAAATTTATAGACGATTTTGTGTGATCACTTATGGATTAGTTTTGAATTAGTTCTGAATATCATGTTGAAGGTATGTAGAGTTCCGGTTCATTTCGGCAAAATATTGTTCTAAGAATTTTTGGACAGAATTTATTCATTCATTTCATTGTGGTAATCATAAATCTGTTGCTGTGACCCTCATTGGGAGTGAGTTGTGATGCAGCGATTGTAAGTATGTTCGCATTTCAGCAATGTAATCAGTGTAATCTGTATCCACTAAAAACATCGTCACCATCATCAAAATCACATCTGACTAGTAAACTTAACTCAACATTCGAATTGTTGCTATCGTTAGAACAGAAACGCGTTGGTACAGATATCGTTGGTGATTCTGCGGATTTGATTGAAACAATTTGTTCGTTGATTGATGCTGTTATTGAGCAAACCTCTGAAGCAACCAGTCTGAATAATAATGTTAGTTGCAAGTTTTCATTTACTTCTTTGTGCATGCAGCAATTTCAATATTATTTTTATTAATTCAAAATTGCAGCAGTTGCAACAAAGAATGCTCCTATATTATAAATGTTCAAATCTCAGGGCTTCTCTCTGTCTTCTCACAATCAGTACTATTTGAAATCATACAGAACCATCCATTTTCTTGAAAACTCTGAGCCGGTCATTCAAGCATCTCAGAGGTGTCGGATTATTTTTGCTAACACTAAAATTTCGAGTTGATTCACTTACAGATGAACAACGACCGCTGTACGGATGCAAAGCAAGCTGATTCAATGGAATTCGTCGAGCCAGCTCTGTCTGTGGTGAAACGAGTTGAGCATGAAGTGCAAACCGAAGAAATGAAACAACTCAGCAGCGTGCTCAGAGAGGCAGTTGAACATTTGGATCGTAATTTTCAGCGTATTGAAGAACAAATTCAAGTGACGAATCAATCGATGGAACGTTTCCTTACTTTGGTCCATTGATATAATTTTGTTTTATGTAAAGAATGTTGATAATTGAAGACAACTGTATACTACTGTTATCGCTATTGTTATTCTTTTTAATAATTTGAATTTCAAATTTTGTTTTAAAAAATTTGAGGTTTGACGTGAATTGTATGAAAATTAATGAACTATAGACAAATTTCATTTATAGCCAATATTTATTGTTAGAATTGCTGTTATTGTTTTTGTTTGAATCACGGTGTTTCGTAATTTGAAATTTACTGTTTATTTAACTTAAAGAATTGGTTCCAAATGACTGTTTTATGTGAAGGTGTTTTGTTAATTGATCTCTCTTGCCACATCGGTGAAATTCACCTGTTCGGCAGATACGATGTATATTTGTTTTTACGTTGTTCAAATTGGATTCTTCATTTTGTTACATTTTAAAGTTCGTATTGGTTGAGTGCCTGCTTTCGTAGTATTTATTGCATCGTTATTGCAGTTATAATTATAATTGCAACTTTCATTCTTATCATCATTATTTTGTTATCATTACTATTGTTATTGCTTCTTTGTCATCATCACTTTATTACTTTTTGTTTCGTTGCTCACATTTTATGTCCTCTAAAAATATATATATATATATTCTCAGATTCTGTTTTTGTTTTTCAACGTTTCAGAATTGTTTTCGTTGTGTTAGCAGAGCACTGTAGGGCCGGATTTAAACTGAAGCGCAGTCTTTACTGGGGCAGTTTTTAAACTGAAAATGAAACTTTGCGACGATCGCACCTCGTGATAAGATGAAATATTCGTCGTTCATGAAACTGATGAGAATGATTTGAAGAAAACTTTCCCTTCAGAATCAACAAAGAAGAATGAAGAAAACTCTTGAAAGCAGTACAAAGAAATTGAACAGGAAAATTAACAAACGTTTAAATGGATAGAGATTTTTTCGTTCGTGAATTATCAAGTCGCGTCAAAACTCCTATCAAAAAACCACTGCGATTCCATTCATGCGATCATCGCATTGACTGATTATCATTCAGTGGTGATTGAACTTTTTGACGAAAATTGAAATCGCTGTTTTTTTTGATGGAACGTACTTCAATACTGAAAAGACTTGATACATCATAAATGAAAAGAAAATTTGTAGTCATTTAAACGTTTGAAGGTGAATAAATTCAGCTTGAGAGCAAATGTATTGAACGGCGATTGTGCAATGTCACTTTCATACAAGAGCACACGTTCATTTGATTGATTCGAGTAATGAAAGTAGATGATTTTTCTACAACTGATTGTATTCAGCCTTACATATGTATATATTTAACGTGATATGTGCAAATTCATAAAATTCCGCAAAACAACTGATCTATTCAACAAACCGTTCACAGAGTGAATTCAATTTAAACACTTCCGTAATTTTTTCCGTTGCTGAAGCTTTGATATCTCTTTTAACATGTAACATTTCACTGGTCGAAGCTGTTATTGTTTGCCGACTGTTATTTTGATTTTACTCAAAGATATGCACTCAATTTATCGGCAAAATGTTTATCATTGTTGCGATTATTTAATGGATTGATATTCGGCGATACTTCGTTATGCAATTTATTTATGCAATCAAGCATTCATTATTGCTTGGTGTGGAATATTTGATAGGCTGATTGCTATGGATATATTTGATTAGATTATTTATCTATTATTCACCTCGAACGATTACTGGTTTACCACTGTTGGTTGCTACTCTGAGCGATCGTTGAATGTATGTTCAATCGATCAAGCGGAATGCATTTTCGAGCTTTTTTTGAGTTCCTCTATCTAGAGATCATCAGGCAATAGGGGAGGGTAGCATAAGACCTCTGTGATCGCCAAATACATCAATATTCGAAGTCAGAATTTTCATGAAAATTGATGATCCCCAACGCTGCAGTTGTTATCTGCGTGGAAAAACGGATGCTAAGAAAAGATGAACGTGATATTTATGATATTGGTGATAACACAGAGGCATAAACTCATAGTGGATTGTGATCGCTAATTAAATGAACAAAAATATGCACTCGAGTTCCAAATCGGATTCCATCAATGCTTGCTGTTGCGATATGCTATATTTTGTGAAATCCATTTCGCTAGGTTGTTCCGGCATGCACGATCACCAGATCCTTCTCAAGGACAACCCAGAAACAATCTTTTAACGACTGGATTTGCCATTGAAGACCGCTCTTAACATTTCGAAGTGATTACTGCCCTCATTACAATTCGACGCTGCGATCGACTGCACACGAGACTGTCTGAAAAAAAGAAAACTCAAGTTGCTCCAAAAGTATTATGTAAATTGCTTGAAGTCGTCCGTTATTGCAAATATTTGATTGCTATTTTGTGATGTTGCAAACATGATCATATTACAAGCTACACAATAATAGATAGCTTCTTCAACAGGACAGTCGAATTTCCTTCCAAAATATGCTTAGAGAAGGTTAAATGTGGGTATCTTTCATTATCCATCAAGATGTCGGTTACTAGGAATATGAAATTAACAGCACTCGTGACATCCCAAACATCAGAAAATTATTTGCAGTTGGTTCAAACTGAAGATGGAAACTTGATTCCATATTCAATTTCTAAGAACGAAGTTTATAGAATGGCAGCATTCTTTAAGAAACGTCTGAAAAGAGTGAACGTTTCACCGAGTACCGAGTCATAACTGAATACTTAATGCCGACTCTCGTCAGTGGCGAGTCATTACTGAATACTTAGTGTGAATCCGTTCACATGAAATGGCCAAAACCCTAAAACAGGCATAAAAATCAGTGATTCGAAATCCCTTTGGTGGTTTCCCAGTTGTGTGATAATTCATTGTTGAGACAGGAAACCAGATACTGCATTCACTGAAATCATATCTAATAGCAGCGTCTGAAATTCATTTCGTCATTTTCGTGCAGTAAATTTTATTTATCTCATTTCCGTACAATTCATGCAAATTTTTCCTCATTTCATGCGATTTTTCATCGTTCATAAATTCCAAACAATTTCACTTCCTCATTTCTCATTTTCACTGCTGCAATTCATTCAATAATGCCGCTATTAATTTGCGAAGGTTCCTTTTGTGAAGCAAATCAATATTGGTTGAGAACAAAGGTGTAATTAAAATAGAAGTGACGAATGAAGAAGAAAATTCGAACGAATGAAATATGTTTTTCATCGAATTTAAATTTTGTCGTCAAGGTTTATTGGTTAGGAACTTCTTTCGAGGAAATGCATTTCATCCAGAAACGATCATATTCCAACAGGTCCCATACTCACTAGAATAAAGCAAATAGAAGCATTCAGTTGCCAAGAACTAACCTTGCAACGTAACGTCTCCAATAGATGATGATTGGTAGAGCGAGATAATAGAACGGCGTTATATCGAAATAAAAAAACGGTAAATTTTTGATCGGTGCATAGTTGAATGAGCAAATAACAGCCAATGTGGATACCAGATTGCATGTGGCATTCGCTGCAGCTAGAGGCACCAGTTTCAACGCGGATTCGATATTTTGCTCAACCTAAATTATTTTAGTGCGTTCATCGAAAAATTACAATCGTTCATTAACAAAAACCACTTTTAACATTTCGGTGTGTGAAGAGCACTGTATCAAAGGCAGAAAAAGTCTGTTAAATGGCCGTGCCGCTCGCTATCAGACGGCGTGCTTTTTGTCATATTAAGTGGATGTCAACGCGTCCCGCTAGTCCATATCGGTTTTATCAATCTCATGTTCAGACTTAAGCCTTTATCGAGGCTTTTACTGGAGTCTTAATAAAATGATTAATTGCAGATTTAGAAGTTGGAACTGCAGCGACCTCAGGCGCACATGCTTCGGTATAACTCTTAGCTCACCCCAACGGTGTGCCGCATGTGGGATTTCGTGACCGCGATTTGCAAACACAGCCAACTACCGATATTGAGCCATCTAATCTTAAGTATGGGTCGCAGTATTCAAAACTGTTTGAAATGTGACCAAACCTGATATTTATGTGAGAGTGTTGCCGCAATCCTTGCGCTACTTTTCTTCCATCGAACATTGTACGCGTAAAGGGCGATGAATATGACGATGATAATGAGTTCACCAACCGCCGTCCCACTTAATACCTAAATTTGACAAAGTTATTTGATTTGATTCTACAAATCTCAATTAATTATAACTTCAGTGAGCTACGCAAAAGTTAATTACGCACAAATCCGTATTTTGGCACAACTAGAAATCAAACTTTTAGAAATTCAATTCGATGCAAAAATACGCGGTTTTTTAATGAATATTTTAGACATTTTTGTTTATGTAAGAAAATTTTTTCTCAATTCTAACAGACTTCCCAATATATGAATGCGAGATGGAAATTTTTAATATGTTCAATGAAAATTCGAATGAATCATACCACAGTGAGAATAGCTTTTGTCTTCGGGTAGATTAAAACAGTGGCTGAGTTGACCATTCCAAAGGATATCTGAAATTTCTGAATGTTGTTTTCTGTCCAATTTTCATGTCTTATAATGGATCATAGAATTCGTAATTGGGCTTTATAATGTCAAATATTAACATGTCGTGAATACATCTATTGCACTGCGTAATGAAATGCTCCGATGTTCTAAAGAGACGACTATATCTAATTATATATGATTCTAAGTGCATAATCATGAAGCATTTGTTATTACATCCACTTTAATTACGCACAAATCAATTTTTAGGTTAAGGATAAGTGATCTTAATTACGATTTTTAGAATAATTAATACTCTTGCGATAGTTTTAATCCTCTAATCACATTTATCAACCTAATTACGACGAGCACGAAAGCGCTTCGTGAATATCAATCAATTTCAGATATCTTGTCATTATTAGAATAAAACTAATTTGGCTAAATACTGCATTTGCTCATTTCATGTTGTACTCAATTTTTTCATCCAATCTCTCGCATTTTTTTCTGCATGATTATCCTCATTATCCTTTTTTTCGTTAGCCTTCCTTATGATATACATCAGGGGTCGACAACCCCCGGCCCGCGGACAATATTTTTTGACTCAGCAGATGAATTTGAGAGTTTGATTTTAAAGGGGTAAAAAACGAAAAGAAAAAAGGTTTTAAATTGCTCAGATATTACACCGAAGATTTTCGACACAGAATTTCCAAGTAGACGAGTGACTGTGTCGCCGGCACATACTTTCTCTTCATTAAGTCAGTCAGTTGCTTGGAAAAATTTTGGTCCGCAGTCAAACCTACTTGCCGACTCCTGATGTACATTATTTGGTGGTCCTTAACATATTCGATTCTCATATACAGACAGATGATTTCTTATCCATCCGAAATGTTCATGAAAACAGAATGCAGTTATTCCCTGAATTGCGCTATACGCAACTTCATCGACACTTGTTAAGAATTAAGAAATCGCAATAGCAACACATGGAAAACGCAATTCAATGTGCTATTAAATAAAATCCGCAGCGTAGTAAACAATTGATCAAGTGAAACGTTCGTAAATCTAATGATGTTTTCGTAATTGATAAGAATTTTCAATAGCAATAATGCGCCGCATTTCATCGTCTTTTGACAACAGCTTTACAGGATGCAATTTGCATCGTTCATAATTGTGTTTTGTAGGATGCAATTATTATTTTATTACATTATTTACATGACGTAATCGCGAGTTTGTGACTTCTTTATGAGAAAAATAAATTATCAGACTGTTGCGAGGAAGGAAAAATGTCGAGGACGAAATTTTGCAGTCTGCACTCCGAACAATGTGTTCGACTCAGAGGAAGTCAAGAAAGGTGAAAAAACTCAGTCTTGTCCCCGTAGTAATCCCCGATCCTCAATTTTCTGCGGAAGTTTAACGTTTGAACTGAAGTCAGCTGAAAAAGCATCGAAATTAACAGTCTTCAGGATAGAGCACAGACAACTGCGAAATCGTCACGCGGTTTCCTTTGATAATATTGCGTTGAAGCACACGAAAGATAGTGCATAAGTCCTCGGTAACAAGAAATGAACAACATTCTCGAATGAGAATAACGTCAACTTATTCTTCTGCATGCCGTAGAAGTGTTTAGCTCTGTCACAGTGACAAGAAATACTATTTCCTCCTCAGAATTCTGAGATAACCAGAAACATTTCGTTCCGATGATTAAAAAAGTCATCGATTTTTGAAATGTCGTCACGTGTTGTGTTTATCTTCTTCTTCTTCTTCAGAATTTCTGTTTTGTTAGCATGAACCGTACGTAATTGACTCTCATCGCTGTGACAGAGCTACAAGAGTTCTGGCAGTACTTTGCATGTGATCTATATGTGATCTGCATGTGATCTGCTGGTGAAACTTTCCTTCTAGTTGAAAAAGCGATAAAACATAATCGTCATTCTTAGCGGGGTGCTGAGCCAAATTCATCATGAATTGCAATGGTTGAAAAGCGGAAGCATTCCATGAGAACACTGTAGGGATGAGAATGAGAGCACTATACATTTCGAATAGAATGAATAACATCGAAATTTATCCGCAACATTCATCGCACTCGCAATTATTTGCTTTAACGCTGAACGCATCATTCGTACACTTTACAAACAAATGTGTATCATTAAAAAATGGAATGGATGGAAAAGAGATTCAAAGAGTAATGCGTAATGAACCATAATGTACATCTGAGGATAACCTTGATGATTTCCGATCAAATTGGTGGTCACTTATCGTTAGATCTTCGAAGCGATTCAACGGGAATTTGGGTAAGCATGTAACTAATAAAACTACTATAGTATTCTCAATAACGCAGATTTGTGTTGTAGGCCAACAAATAAAAATAAAACACTCATTCAACCTAGTTGCTGATTTTTGGAGCCGATGCTCCAACCACGAACACAGCAACAACAGTCGAAAGGGAGAAGCTTAAACATTCGCACAGTTCGCTTATAAATTTTCATTAGCACGTGAGGCGTGCGAAAATCGTTCATGAAATCACTTAAAGTTCACGTTTTCTATGCTTTTATCTGATTGCATTAATTTTCGAGAAGAATTCGGGGAATATCCCAGAAAACATCGGGCAACGGGAATCCTTGACAATCCCAAAAAGTCGAGGACGAGGATACTTGAGGACGAAGTCGGCGACCACGAAAATGCTATCGACTTCAAAATATTGGGGACGAATTCCTCGAATTACCTCTTTCCCCGCAACACATTAACCATTTTATTGACGAATTAAGATTACGCATTTGCCGTGCTGTTAGACTGTAATAGTGATGAAAAAGGTGGATATCAAAAATGGCTGGAGTTGCGCTGCTAAAAATAACTCATTCAGGGGATTCTCGGAACTTTTATGTTTAATTGAAGAGCAGTCGAAACTAAAAATTTGTGCTTTGTCTTTTTGCAGATAGAAGTATTGGTCAGTAAAATATTGGTCTGGGTTGACGATCGAAATATCCATCGATTCACTCACACTGATAAGCGACAGAACGATACCCAATCTGGAGTTTGTCTTTTCATATTGTCCAGCTTTCACCGTTGAATAAACTCGCTCGATCGCGAGTGATAGGATAGTCATCATACCGGTGGCGTTGCCAAACATATATGCAGCCAACAAGCAAGTAATTGCCTTGACATCCAGATGTATGCAGATCTGAACTCGCACACTTGAAATCATTTTCAGATTCGCAGATTAACTCGACGATATAGTCAGTGTACTGAACGTCTTTTCCAATATGTTACCAGTTCAGTTTGCATGCAACTCTGTTTCTTGCTCACATCAATTGCAAGCTCTTCCAAGGCCTGCTCTTTCCCTCTTCCAAAAAGATGAATATCGTGAACATTGTTTTGAGTTCAGTTTAAAATATCACAAACATTTCATCCGTATATTTTCTCATGAAAACTCATGAAACTTAAAATAAGGGACTGAAATTCCATTAAAATCCCATTCAAAAAANAAAAAACATTTTTATTTATTTATTTAATCAGCAAATCAAAAAAACATTATTATCCATAAATGAATGTCAGAGAAATATGTGAAAATCTAACATTATCGCCGATCGCAGTCCTGGTCATGAATGGCAGAATCGAATACCGATAGATGAAAACGATCGCAAAAGCAAACGAACTCAACGCGGATATTATTGTAACGAAATAATGGAGCTGCAGAAGGATCTTCTCATTTCTGTGTTGACTGCTTTTGGCTAGCTAAAATATACATTCAAATAGCCTGATGGTGTGCAGTTTGAGGTAAACACTCCATGACTTCCGATTGAAGTAGATAAAAACAATGGGAACGAAGAGGGTTTGGCGAATGATGATGGTGTTATTATCAACGATAAGATCATGAACTGATTTTCAGAGAAATCATAAGGTTGCGTTTCGATATTCCAGTTATTTTAGCACCTGTGCAGGATCATTTACAAACAAATGTATCGGAATATCGCATTCAATTCTACTTCAACTCACTAACAATAGCATAATAAAACTGTTGAAATTTGAAGTAGGTATGCTCCAACATAAACTTACTCCTCTTTTGAAATCCATTGGAATCAGTAGTAGTCCTGAGCCGGATAAGAATGTTTTCAAATATAAAACAATCAAAAATAAAGTATTTGAAGCAGTCTCTTTACCACTACAAGCCATATTTATGAAAAAAAAAAGTGTTCTGCTCTTTGTCAGCAGGATACAACTAGAAATTTCAGTGTGCAACTGAAAACATTTCAAGCATTTGGTAGAGCAGCGATCGCAATAATTCAATTCATTCCGAGTTGATGCGAAGCCGATTCAACGTACTCATCGAAAGGATAACGATAATGAAATAATCATGAAACGATCTTGAAAGCTATTCAATGTTGGTGATGTCAGAGTGAGCTGGAACAAAAAAGTGGTTAAACAATGAGTAACAGATATTTTGATAAGTAGGTAATTTGATAAATGGACAAAAATATATTTATGCCTGATAGAAAGATGTACTTATCTATCAGATTGATTTAATGCTTGTTGTTTCCAACAACCGTACTGTACATACTTCACTCTCTTGGATATAAACTCTTGCACTTACTTTTCCAGCAAGGGTTTCCAATCGCAAGAGATTTCTATCGGAAGAGCAACTTATATTCAAGAGCAGACGATATATCTTAAGTACGCCCATAAATGCTTCACCGTTTTGCTGAATTGAAATCCATTCTGCAGTCAAGTGTAACTGTTCGCAATTTTTATTGTCAATTGCAATTGCATAGGTCAGTTGTTCTGCATTGGAATAAAGCGGTAGTTGTCAAGGGGACGAATTCCCCTCTTGGGAATATGAGGGTTTCTGGAGTGAATTTGAGGAGGTTGACAAATCGTGGTTGATCGATTTCTGCTTCATAATTCTTCCGTAATTGTCCAGTACTTTTCAAAATTATTGTCTGATCATAAAGAAACTGATTTCTTTGATGCAACCGTCGCATCGTTGACAGCAAACTTGTTGAACAATTGAATAGTTGTTTGTGAT